TGGAATGAGGAGTAACGGTAGTTCGAACTAGGAAGCCTAGTTCGAACTACCTAGTTCGTGCCGCGTGTAGCCGGCGTGAATGGGGTTCGAACCAGCCGGGATTTAAAAATGGTGGCGCCCGGCTTATGCAAATGAAGCCCGGGAAATTCAAATCCTGGGCTTCATTTGCAATTGCGGTATGCCTACATTACCCTCCTATTTCGAAATAGGAGGGTAGTGTAGACATACCCTGAGAGATTTAAGAAGCTCAATCTAATCAATGCAAGTAAAGGCGAAGAGGTGACTTGATCTCAGTCCATCGGTAGCTATGCCGGAAGATTTCTGATCGCAGAGGTCTCTTTAATCTAGCAGATGAAGGCATTACAGATCCAGTGCTGGACACTGAAGCAAGACAAACTGAGACTAGGAAAAAGAGGCATTTTTTTAATAAGGGGGCAATCAATCATTGCAACAATGTACCTAAGATGTGGAGGGTTCTCCCCCACATGAAGTCTTTAAATCAAGACTGGATGTCTCTCTTCAAGTTATGATCTCTCAAGGGATGTCAAACTGAGTCAGCGTCCCAAAATGGGTCATGACCCCGTTTAGTGGGGTTGCCAGGGCTGGCTTTAGAAGCCAATGCCCAAATGTTTCAGTCCTGGGTGGCAGGCCTTGGGCAGGCTCAACCACCCAATGCTGAACTATTCGAGCACTGGCTTCCCCCTCCCCCACTCCGAGCCCCAGCAAGTCTAATGTCAGCCCTGGCAACCCCACTAAATGGGGTCATGACCCACTTTGGGACGCTGACTCACAGTCTGACAACCGCTGATAGATCATAACTTGTAGAAAGACATCCAGTCTTGATCCCTGCTAAATTAAAGAGACCTCTGCTATCAGAGTCCTGGGGTCACACCAAAATTATTGTTGTCAGAAGGGGGTCGCGCTGCAATGACGTTTGAGAACCACTGAAGTAGCTCAAGCAAAAGTTGGTGGCTTGATGCAAGAAATAATGGGAGAGGTTCTCTAGCCTGTGTGAGGAGGTCAGACGAGGCCACTGCAAGGCTCCTTCTGGCCTAGAAAAGAATACTGCTCCCAAGTGACTCTAGAGAGAATAAGGGAAATTATCAGTCTCAATTAATTCATTAGGACAGCTCTAAGCTCACATGGTCTGCCTCAAACCTATCATGTATCCTGAGGAGATGGAACAGGAAGCATTGCAAATCTTAAAAATTACAATGTTATTAACAAAAACTAAGGGGCTGTGTCTAGACTGGCCAGTTTTTCTGGAAAATCAGCTGCTTTTCCGGAAAAACTTGCCAGCTGTCTACACTGGCCGCTTGAATTTCCACAAAAGCACTGACTTCCTACTGTAAGAAATCAGTGCTTTTTGTGGAAATACTATGCTGTTCCCGTTCGGGCAAAAGTCCCTTTTGCGCAAAACTTTTGCGCAAAAGGGCCAGTGCAGACAGCTGAGATTTGTTTTGCACAAAAAAGCCCCGATTGCGAAAATGGCGATCGGGGCTTTTTTGCGCAAAAGCGCGTCTAGATTAGCCACGTACGCTTTTCCGCAAAAAGTGCTTTTGCGGAAAAGCGTCCGTGCCAATCTAGATGCTCTGTTCCAAGAATGCTTTTAACTGAAAAGTTTTCTGTTAAAAGCATTTCCGGAAAATCATGCCAGTGTAGATGTAGCCAGGGTGAATCTCTAGATAATAGTGTAACAAACCTGTGGCTACCAAAGGCTTCTCATTTATTACCAGAAGGCACACCTTGGACATCTGTAGCTTTCCAGCCACAACAGAGATAAAACCCAGACTCAAAAACGACAGGTCTCTTCCACAACAGCCAAAGGAAAATCTTCTTTGCGTGTTAGCAGGACACTGATCCTGGTGAGTGGTTCTGACTCTGTCCAGTAGATGGAAGTCATGCGCACACATACAGATGCATGGACCCACTGGCTAGCTCACTGTAGTAGTGAGAATGCTGGATGGAAAATATCCTGACCGGACAGAAAAGTCATCAAGAGAGCTTCTGAGAGTGTGACAGATGGTGACCTGCAGCTAGGGTTGCCAGGCTTCTGGTTTTTGACCAGGCATTCCGGTTGAAAAGGGACCCTGGTGGCTCTGGTTGGCACTGCTGACCAGGATGTTAAAAGTCTGGTTAGAGACACAGTGGAGGCTCAGGTACAAGACAGGGTCCCTACCTGCCTTGACTCCACGCAGCTCCCAGAACATGGATCCCAGCCAAGGAGAGCTACAAAGCCATCACTTGGGGGCGGGGCAGCATACGGAGTGCTGGCTCTGCAGCTCCCATTGGCTGGTAACTGTAACCAATGGGAGCTGTGGGGGTGGCACTGGCAGGCATGAGGGCAGCGTGCAGGCAGAGCCTCCCTGCACACAGGGGCCGCTGGAACCTCAGGGCCGATTCCTGGGAGCCACGATTAGCATCACAGGAGCCTGCAAGACAGACCCAAGAAAACCAACAATAGAACACCACTTGTCATCACCTACAGCCCCCAACTTAAACCTGTCCAACACATTATCAATAAACTACAGCCTATACTGGAACAGGACACTAAACTCCAAGAAGCTCTGGGAGACAGACCCATTGTCTCCTATAGACAACCACCTAACCTCAAGATGATTCTTACCAACAACCACAGGACATACCACACTAATACCAACCCTGGTACCTTCCCTTGCAACAAACCCCGTTGCCAGCTTTGTCCACATATTCACTCTGCTGATACCATTATTGGGCCTAACCAAGTGAGTTATAAGATCAAGAACACATATTCCTGCGCATCCAGAAATATAATTTATGCTATCATGTGCCTAAAGTGTCCGTCTGCTTTGTACATTGGACAAACGTCTCAGACACTTCGCCAAAGGATCAATGCCCACAAAACAGATATTAGACAGGATCACAAAGAAAAAACAGTTTCTTGCCATTTCAACCAGAAAGGACACTGTCTCAACGACTTAATTCCCTGCATCCTG